CGATGGTAAGGCTATAGTAAGGCCTTAACAGGCCTTACTATTGCCTTACCATTGCGAAAAAATCTCGCTGTAAAATATGCTGTTAGTTCATACCCCAGTTTCCTAACACAGAAAGAATTCAAATAAAAATGAAATAAAGATCTCATCAAATAACGAATCAAATACGAGATCTCAAAGTTTTAAAAGTTTTACTTGCAGCAAAGTGTGCAAAACAATGGTTACATTCAGAACTGCACTGAGGAACTCCTCAGCGCTCAAAGCTTAAATACAGTTTTTTTACACACACACTTCAATGGTCAGTACCTTTGCGTTTCACAGCCATGTGGTGTTCACGCACCATTTCTGAGCACTGATTGGCAAAGGCTGCTCCAAACAAAGATTCTCCACTAATAGGAGCCATGTGCATGCGCTGCAGATAATCAAGTCAGATAAGACCATACAGTTCAGATGTTTTTCACTCTTTGTCTTTTGTTGGTCTTCTGTTGGCCCCCTTATTTGGGTAAAGAAACTAGTTCTGGCCAGTTCTGTGTCCTGTCTCTATCTCCAAGTGTAACGGTCAGTACCTTTCAGTGCTATCCATATCATCCTGTTATGTAAACCATCAGCATGTACCCCTTTCTTTAGTACTTTTCCATTTAGTACAGCATAACATAAACATTCAATAATAGTATAAATTTATATGGAACCTTTATATGAGGAATATATTGTAAAGATTGAATAAATGTATTTACAACATCTTAACATCCCCTGCTGTTTTACAAATCAATTTAAACTGTGAAATAGAACAACTTCTCATTATCAGTCATGTACAACTTCAATAAAATTTTCTGCACAGACATTATTTCGGAACTATAGCACAGTTGAACACTACAAACAGCTGTCAATTAGTGGGGCAGGGGGAATGAGAGAATAAGTTTGTTGGTACAAGGTATTCCACATAGCGTAGTCTAGTAGATACCATTTTAGCAGTCATTGACTTAATGCACAGTACTACACAAGTTAAAATCAAACAGAGCAAGATCAAAACAGTCAAAACAGGCATAAGTCATTTTAAAAGAATACTCCACCAGGAACCGGACGTGAGCCAGGAAAGAAGATCTTTGTCCCAAGTCCAATGTGACTCCATCTTTTTTTGATTGAGATGTTCCTACAAGGCTTGCACTTCACCAATGATCTGAGTAATATTATCTGTGGAATCAGGAATAAATGTACAACAATAATCACCAACAAGGGCACAGACCCCACTCTTCTCCGCTAGGAGGAATTCTGATGCCATACGATTTTGCATAATCATGGTTTTCATAGCACGCTTTTCAGGATCATCTCAACAAATTCAGCAAGAGTTTTCTAGTGACCAAAAAACATCATTCATCTTATGTCCTAGATATGCAACACCATACATCAGAAAAAGACTCATAAAGAATCCTCGAATATAACTAATTAGCGGAGGCAACTTTGTTTCTGTAGCGCTGCGTTTGTAACGGTGAATACTAGTAGAATCTACAGATTTAGTTACATTTGCCTTAGGTACAACTACAGAAGCTGGAAGTATTCTAGCTAAATAGCACGTACCACAGCAGTCTTCTGGTAGCCAGAGATAAGTTTTAGAACCACAATTCCTAATCTGGTGGGCATGGAAATCCACGCAATCCTTCTGTGGCCAACGTGCAATGGTTAGCCCTTCTGTGTTAGTAAGGTTTGTTCTGTTGGAATACACGTTAGGAGTATGCCGTTGTGATCGGTCAGCAACTGGTCAAATTTGGAAACAGTGCTTTTAATTTGGCTCTTTTACGAGAAGCAAAGAGTATTACCACTATAGTTTCCAGCATAGAGGCCGGACTTCAGCACTAGTGTGTGTCTGTATTTCAGCTTCTTGGGCTCTTAACAGTCTACAGTGGCTTACGTGAATCCAGGAGGGTCGTTCAGCAATTCGGACTGCAGTTGGGGTCGTTAGAAGGACCTTGTAGGGGCTGTTCCACCGTGGGTCAGACCACTTTGTTCTCTGTGTAGCTTTTAGGAACACTAAGTCGCCAACCTGGATCTTCTGGTCATGTCCAGGTTTCTGTGAGATAGAGAGAGCTTTGGCAGATTCAATTTGTTCTTTTCTTTTTGCACCATTTCTCAAATAAGCATGTAAATCATCATTTTTGTCATTTTCTGGTAACGATGCAGTTAGTTGTGGAAAAGTAAATGGTCAGTGAAAGACAAATTCAAGTGGAGTTAACCCAGTGATGATCTTTGTGTTGTATTCAATCGTACCATGTCCAAACACTGTGGCCATGGTTTCCCTGTATCAGGTACTGCCTTAGCAAGTAGTTGTTTTATTGTGCCATTTTTTCTTTCTACCAATCCAGCACTTTGTGGATGGTAAACTGCATGTAGTTTATGCATAATGCCATCATTTGTCAACAGGCTTCTTACACATGCTGATGTAAATTGTGTCCCATTATCTGAGTAGATACTTTCTGGGAATCCATATCTTGGAAATATCACTGTTTTAAAAAGTTTACCTGGAACTCAGCATTGGCATTAGCAGTTGGATGAATTTCAGTCCATTTACTGAAAGCACAGACAATGATTAAGCAATATTGTTGATTTTGTGATGAGGAAATGAGCCATGTCTTGTTCTTACAGCTCCTTGAGCATTATGTTTTCAGCAGATTATGCACTATTGTACATGTTTTTGTGCAGCTTTTTGAAAATTTGGACAGTAAAAAAACGTGTTGTACTGCTCCAATCATCCCTGCTGTTGTCACATGGCACTGCAAAATGATGAGGTGCCATAGTTCCCCTACTGGATAAAAAACTGGCCATACATCAACATTTTCATGACTGTTTGACTAAAACAAAGTGATAATTAAGGATCATTAATGTAATGTACTAGATAGCACGGTTTGATTACAGTTGGGGCAACATAGCTGTTGCCACTTATTTGACTTAATCATTACTGAGGAGTTGTTTTTGTCTTCATTTGGCAGTTGAGTTAGTTGGGTGGTAGGTGCAACAGGCTTATGTTTATAGTAAAGTGTAAACTGGAGGTTTGGCAATGGCAGCTTTAGAAACTGAGGGCTGCAAGTTTTTTTTTTTTAATCATCACTTTTACTTATTTGTGTTTATCCTTTTGCCGATTAGAGGCAATATTGCTAAATGCCAAATGCCAGTCCCTTCAATTTGCGCACTCTGTTTGCTGTTTGCAAAAAAGCCAAGATAATTATTTCATGTGTGTTTAGGTTGAATTTCACTTTGAATGTGACTAAATACTGTAATTCAGGGGTGCCTAAAAGGAAGATCTGGATCTACCAGTAGATCTTGAAGGGAGCGCTGGGAGCAATTACATTTAAAGAAACAAAAATGATAGATTTAATTCTATTTTATGATGCTAATCACTAGGGCTAAAGTAGGGACCATAGAAATACTGAGTCAGACAGTATTGTGCCATAAAACTACAGCCATTTAATCAAAGTAGTAAATATATATTTATAGTTTTCAATGTAGGTACCCTGGTCATTTGAAAAGTAGCTCCCAAAAAATTGAATATATATTTTTGTCATAATCATCAATGTATTACAATTTAAAGATTTCACAGACACTACAATGCTATGTTCTTTTTAACGACACAATAATATTACTACAAAACGTCAGACTTGTTTGATTGTGCTTCATATTGTTATTTACACTTTTAAAAGACAAATGCTGATTAAAAATAAGATATTTCTCATGCTTTCTGGAGTTCAGTGTAACACTGTATAACTGCTGATTATTAACACACATTTCGAGTGTTTTTCAGAGTTACCACATTTCCCCAAATCAAAGGCCTAAGTATAATTGGTTAAATGTTCACTGGACCAAAGATGAAATGTTATTGAGTTAGTTACTGTTGAAAAAAATTATAACTCCATGTATATAATCAGTCCTTATTCAACTGTAGTGTTGCAAATAGGGTATTTTTTTTATTCTAGTAAAATCATCATATTTAAGCATCAATAAATTATTGATGAATTAATAAATTATAAAAAAATTATAAATAAAAAATTTGATTCTCTGAGAGGCTGAATACATTTTATTATTATTATTTTATTGATGAATTTAATTAATTTATTAATTAATTTATTATTTTATTATTTATTTTATTAATTATTCATTTTAAATAAAAAGCTGTGACAAACTTAAAACCCCAAATTGTAATAGTCTGTTGCTGATTTTTTAAATTTTAAATGAATACAACCTTATTATGAATAATAATAATAGGCCTACATAATACACTTATTTGTTTTATTTTATTTATGTCTGTATGTATGCCTGTGATACATTTTCTAAGAATAAAAATATAAGTCAGTTTTCAACACCCGAACGTACAGTTAGTAGCGAAAAGTAACCACAAGTGGGCAGTAAAGTAAGACCACATATTGTCCTGTTTGGTACAAAGAACGGTGATAAAAATGCTTTAAACTCCATGAACCATCAAGAATCAACCCTTAAATTATTTAAATTAGAATTATTTACTATTAGTTCATTTGAACCACTTACTTATTTACTATTAGAACTATTTACACTAGCCTAATAGGTTGTAGGCATGACGTTATAGGGTTAAGTGACGTCACGTTATGAACAGGAAGATGACTAATGTAGCATAGCGGCTACCGAATGGCATCATTGAGGCGCTTGTCGTACAACGTATTGGTATTTATGTGAAAAAACTAACAGAAGTAAAGCATTAGAATATTAGTACATGTGCATACGCACCAAATACTCACGCTGTAGCAGAAAAACACGCGTGAGGCCATCATGTGCACGAGCTACGCCACACCTCTGTACTCTCATGCTGGACGAGGAGACTTCCAGGATGTGTATGAACCTGCTGAGGACTCGTTTCTTCTGATAGATGCTCTGGAGAAAGATGCACAAAAGCTGCAACAGCTAAGGTAAGACACTGAAAACGTTTAAAAAACAATTTATCTTAGTGGTTTGGTGACCACCCATGTTCTATATTAAGGTAACCCATTTTACGCCACGTGTGTCAATGCATAGCAACGAACGCTTTACGTTGTATTGCACAGCAATTTTAGCCTGTGTCACGCAAATTGAACATTTTGTCCAGCTTTTCATTCGACATTACTTAATTTTATGTAAACTATTTAATGTGTCTGGCTGTCTATGGGCAGTTGATCAGTGAAGTTCATAGCAACGATAAACCACTTCGTGGGTAAGGCGGTAGCTCGACAGGCTGAGTGGTGTGTGGCTCGCAGCAATCGCACAAACTTGAATTGAAATTGTAGCGCGTAGTTGTTTTGATACTGTAAAGGCGACCATGTGCACTGTGCCGAAAAAAGATGTTTTGGGTTGAGTTCGGCGGATGGAGAGTCTGAACTAGCGTTCTACAATTTGTGTAAAAACGGCTTTTCTGTCGGTCAAGGTGGTGAATCTGATGGGAAACCACACGGTGCACGTGAGTTTCTCACACACAACAGAAAACATCCAAAAGTGTGCCGTAATTTTTTTCTGCAAACTAAATGATACTGAGTTGGATAAAGTTACCGCAGTAGATGTTACCAGTGTTTACCATGTAGTGCAATATGAACATTCATATCGGTCAACCGACTGCAGAAAATCTCAAGAGAGATTCAGGACCAGGGTCACTCTGCACATAGCTGTATAGAGTTCTACAACGATGCTGAAAATATATTCATGGCTACTGTTATATATCTTGTTATAGCTTAGATTTTAACATTTGGTTGCTTTTCTGCTACCAATGTGTTTCAGAAACGTGCTAATCATTATGCTGAGAAAGGGTGTTGGCCTGCCACCTGCTGGATTGTGATGAAAAACCTGTTTGGTGGCGCTGGGTTATTTCTATTTTTTATTTTCATGTTTTCGTCACAGATGGCGATATAATCCACAGGAGTTGTTGGTTTTACAGAGACATGTTTACATTGAAATAGTTGAATTTGACATCAGGTCATATTTTGTTGTGCCTTATCTGCTTATGTTTAACGTGGAATAATTAAGAATAAATGTTTGTGCTTTTCAGCTTAAAGTTATGTCTTGGGTACCTTGGAGTTCTTGTTTTTTGTGGGAGTAAAAGGCGAGATACGTGTATGTTACTTGGTTTAAAAAAATAAAAAAAAGTTGAATGATTGCGGCTGTCCCTCATTGTCACACTCAAACCTGCTACTTGTACCACATTTTGTCGGTTTGGAGGTGGTCACCGTAGTCTTAACAGAGAACATTCTCTCTCTTCTTGCCCTGTTTGAGCAGCTAACAGAGATCTGATGCATCTGTAGCAGATGTTATTCTTTTAATCGCAGCACTAAACACTGGTTATGTGCTGCTGTACCTTAAATACTTTTAATGCTATACGCATTTCATACACACAAAAGGCGGGGGAATTGAGAGGGTAGTGCATTTGCAGATATTCAAATGCTCTTTGACACATACAAATGGGAGGACTTTTAAGTTTAATTATATGAAAATAATTGCCTCTCTGGTGACTCTTTGGTTTATCAATGCTTTTTCTAGCCCATCTGTGTGTGTGGAGGTTGGCAGCGGCTCTGGAGTGGTGTCCGCCTTTCTCGCGTCAGTGGTCGGGACATCAGCCTTGTACATGTAAGCCAAACTACTTCCTTAAAATAAATAACTTACTTGTAACACCACAACATTGCAGATGCTAAAGGTTTGCTATTCTTTCCAGCTGCACTGATGTGAACCCTGCTGCAGCACGGTGTACAGAAATGACGGCATCCTGTAACAAAGTTTCACTGCAACCTGTTGTCACGGACCTGGTGAGTGTTTTTGGTCCATCAAAAGAGGGCTCTACATTGGCGGTCACTAGAGAAGAAATAAAAGCAAAATAAAATGTGAAATGATGATTTAAGGTGTTAAAAAAATCAATATAGTGCTATAGAATATCAATATGGTACTGTGTATTTTCTTATACCCCTACTACACACTAAGAATTAAATGTTTTACTTGTGGTATACTTAGGTGGAGTGTCTTTTACCCCAGCTGAATGGAAAAGTAGATGTTCTGCTGTTCAACCCTCCCTACGTGGTGACACCATCAAAAGAGGTTCATTTTGCTTTAATTGTTTGTAACATTTGTACTCACAAGTGGACATTCTCACCGATGAGTATGTGTTCTCAGGTTTGCAGCAGAGGTATTGAAGCTGCCTGGGCTGGTGGGAAGAGAGGACGAGAAGTGATGGACAGATTCCTGCCACTCGTATCCCAGCTGCTGTCCAGTAGAGGCTTGTTCTACCTCATTACTATTGCTGAAAATGACCCAGGTACATTATTGTAATTTCTTTTGAAAATTTTTAAATAACATAACCAACAACAACTATTTTTAAATTTTGCTGTACAGAGGAGATCATACGTTTGCTTGGGATTCATGGCTTAAAAGGAGAATCCACGTTGTCCACAAGAGCAAGAAATGAGAGCCTGTCTGTCCTGCGCTTTCACAGAGACTGGACATGAACGGACACGTAAATCACTAATAGAACTTTGCACTGACAGAAAACTTTGTATATTTTTGAAGAAAATCAAAACTTGACACAGATACTTTCAATGTTTTATTAATCTAACAGGATCTAAATTCCATTAAAGCCTGATAATCATGCTTTTTTTTAAACAAAGACACTATAAACAGGGCATTTTGGTAAGTAACTCATTGGAATGTAGTGGAGCAAAATGATCGTAAGACAGAACAGGTGGAACGGTGACAAGTGCACCTCAGTCTAACATTGTTAACATTTGTTCTGTTGGAAATGTGGAATTTTAAACTGTGGGATTTTTGCACTTAATTCCACACTGTGCGTCCATCCTCACCCAGCCTAACAGAACCACTGGCTACCAGCTCCATAGCAGCGGGAAAGGCTCGATGCTCGGCTTCTCTGATTCTGTCAGACAGACTTTCCTCACTGTCTCCGCTCAATACAGGCACAGCCTCCTGCACGATTATGGCTCCTGCATCGACCTCCTCCTAGACACATGGTTTATGGGGGAAAAAGCACAAATTTAGACATACGGTACTTGCAGTGTTTTTTAAGCTTGGGGTCGGGACCCCACGTTGGGTTACCTGGATTTCAAATGGGGTCACCTGAAATGTCCAGTTATGAAATTATTGAGAAAAATATTTTTTCAACGAATTATTATTCTTTATAAAATCATGATTAAAACACTACAAAAATCTTAAACATGTTTTTTCACCATCAGGAAAATAATTTGAGTTCAAATAAATGATAGCATAATGGGGTCGGGACCCTACGTTGGGTCACCTAAAATTATTATTGAGAAAAAATGTTTTTCAACTATTCAAATAATAGTTCAAATAAATAATGGCATAAAAAATATCTGATCTCGATTGACGTCATGTTACTTGACAGCTACTAAAATGTCTCTGTCGCCAAAAATTTGTGAAAAATGTTTAGAAACCAGTGCTTTAAAGACATATGATATTTTAAGGGTTGTTTGCACTTACCGCTACAAAATGGACCGTGCAGCCGCTAACACGCACTCCAGCCTGCAGGGCCTGCTTTTGGGCATTCACTCCCTTAAATGATGGCAGCAGAGATGGATGGATGTTCAGTAGTTTTCCTGCAGTAGAAATATTTTCAGTGTATTTAAAAATGTAAATCAATTGACTTCAAGATGATTTAAGCTAAGCAAGTGATTCAAAATAAACACTTTTACCATTCCACTTTTTGACAAATGTTCCAGTGAGAATCCTCATGAATCCAGCCAGACACACCAGCTCCACCCCAAACTCCTCAAGCACACGGTTAATGGTTCCATCAAACTCGGCCCTACTTCCGTAAAGTTTGTGGTCAACCACCTAATGGAGACCAAATACAAATTAACTAACAGTTTTACGATGAATACGATGCACTTCTTCCACATGGTTACATTACCCGTGTCTGAATGCCAGCTAGCGATGCTTTCTTCAGACCCTCAACTCCAGGCCTGTTGGAAATGACAACCACAATCTCGGCTGAGCTCGACGGCTGCTTGGCCTGTTCAATTAGAGCCTGGAGGTTGGTGCCTAAAACACATTTTTTGATACAAACAATGCAAGCTTACCGTCAAACACTTTGTGTAATTAAAAATACTAAACAACAATTTGTTATTTTTGATTTTTTTTTATTCTTTCCATTTGTTCTGGAAAGAGATCTTAAATGGCTATTACTAGTTCAAGAAAAATGAAGACTTACCAGTGCCAGAGATGAGAACACCCACTCTGCTCCTTTTACATGGTGTGATTATGTCACAGTGGGAGGCATTATTTAGCTCGACCCCCACCTGTCCACTGGAGGAGGATCTTGCCTTCTGCAGGCTGTCATTCAGGTTACGAACCACAACTGCCTCTGACCCTGCAGAAACAGCACAACCGAGATTACACTTCATAAATAAAATGAATGAACGCAATGAACTGTTTTTGCTTTTGATGTCTTACCGGGCTGCTTGTTGGCCAGTGAGCCTACAATCCAGGCCTCATCATTGGTTTGAAGCTGACGTATAACCCCCGGAGCGCGCTCAGGTGCGACCACCAGCACTGCCCCCAGCCCACAGTTAAAGGTGCGCGCCATCTCCTCCTCACTCAGGCTGCCCTCCTTGTGAAGCCAGGAAAACACTGGAGGGATTCTCCACTGAGAAGCATCTATGTTACAGAGAGATTCAATCACAACTGTGTTGACACAGCAACCCTCAAAGTAGATGAAATGATTTCCATAAATAACTGAAGCTTCATCACCAGCAACAACTCTCAAATGAAGACATCAATACATTAAGCAGGAGTTGCAGTGAGTCACTACTTTCAACTCACCTAAATCAGCTGCCAGCTTCTGGGGCAGCACTCTGGGGATGTTCTCCAAGAGCCCTCCCCCAGTGATGTGAGCGTAGGCCTTTACAGTACCACTGCGCAACAGTGGTAGCAGGCTGGTGTAGATCTTAGTTGGTGTAAGAAGAACATCGCCTACAGGCAGAATGATTTTGGCTTAGGTCATGGAAGAAGAAGGAAGAACAACTGGAGGACAACAATGTGCAGCAGGTGTTGCTGCCACCTACCAACGGTCTGTCCTGCACTGTCAAAGGGAGCAGAGGAGCTCAAGCTGAGACCAGACTTCTTCAGAATTTTGCGGACCAGACTGAAACCGTTGCTGTGTACTCCTGAAGAGGCCAGTCCTATTAGCAGGTCCCCCTCTGTGATGTCACCGAGTCTGGGCAGGAGGTTGCCACGCTCCACTGCTCCAACACAGAACCCGGCCAGATCATATTCACCTGCAGAGTAGACACCAGGCATTTCGGCTGTCTCACCCCCTGAAAGTGTTCACAACAACACAGTGATTATTCCTATTTTGACAAACCCTGAGGTTTTTGGTTGTCTAACTATCAGTTGAGTTCTCACCCAGTAAAGCACAGCCGGCCATCTTGCAGGCGTTGGTAATTCCACCAATCACAGATGCTGCCACATCTACATCCAGGCTGCCACAGGAGAAGTAGTCCAGGAAAAATAGCGGTTCGGCGCCCTGAGCCAGTATATCATTCACACACATGGCGACAAGGTCCTGACCCAGGCTGCCATGTTTCCTGTGGGCCTGAGCAATCTGAGAGAAAAAGGATTCCATTTTCAAGGTCATTTTTCAGCTCATTTGGAAAGTGACTTAAGCCAATTTGGATTTAAATGAGGTTGCCATGACAACTCATGTTGAATATTTCAGTGTCAACAAACCGTGAACCTCATCATTAAAAATAAGTGGCACCAAATGAGAACTTCTCACCTTGAGCTTAGTTCCTACACCATCTGTCCCAGACACCAAGATGGGATCAACAAATCCTGCGAGTTTAAGGTCAAACAGACCAGCGAAGCCCCCCAGGTCTGCGTTACATCCTGGTGTGGGGAAGAGTTACACATGGTTACCATGATGCAACCGTTTAACTTCATAATTTACATAACTTTTTAAGAAATGTTGTTTAGATCACAATCTCATATTTGTACTTGAAAATAAAGAATTACCAGGGCGAGAAGTTGCTTTGGCCAGAGGTTTGATCATCTCCACCAGCTTGTTACCAGCAGCGATGTCCACTCCACTGTCCTTATAGGTTAGACCTCTGTCAGAGACAGATTTGTGTTTTAATTTCCAAAAAGCTATCCACTCCTTAATTGAACAAGGTCTTACTGGAGCTGATTCAAAATCTAAAAAGCAGACAGGGATATCTGGTTTGCTGATTAGAATGAGTACCTTCAACGCTGTATATTAGCAAAATATTGATAGGGATAAAAAAAATAAAAAATTAAGACACAGGTACATCCAAATCGATGTTTATTCATACACTGCTACAGGGCTTACAGTTTGTAGATAGTTTAGTAAAGGGAAATAACAAAACAGAACAGTAGCTAAACAAGATGGAATGTGATTGGTTGTTTTTTTAAATCTGTCTGTTGCACTCTTACACACACCTTTGCTGATTTATGTGGGCTATGGCCCGATGGCCAATGTCACGGCGGAACACAGCTCCCGGGAAGCTGATAGCAGCCACCCCCTTATTGGCCAATCCCAGGGCTGCTTCCAGGGATGAACTGACTGCTGTGACTGTAAGCACCCGTCCTCCGGTGGAGACCACTCCTCCCCCAGCCTTCAGGGCTGTACCGGCATGGAAAATCTGCAGCCCCATGTCCTGAACCTGGGATAGGCCTGAGGAGAAAAAGACCAAGCTGTGAATAAAGTTTGAGTAATAAAGATAAATAAAAGACATTTTTATATGTATCTCAACAATAAATTATTATTACACATCTACTGTCAAAGGGTAGACACACAACTGTTCTCATGGTCAAGATGATTTTATTCTGCCTTCACTCTAAGTGTGTCATGCCAACCTGTGATCTCCACGCCTTTCTTGTACGACCCTGGGTATCCAGGGCTGGCCATGACCACTGTGACTGCAGAGCTGTCCTGATGCCACACGGGGCCGTCTGAGGCCAGTTTTCCATTCATTGTGTTTAAAATGACCTCATACAGGTCACTCTTCAGCAGTGGCAGGATTACCTAAAAAAAAAAAACAACATAAAATTGCAGAACTTTAAGCATGATGTGTTTTGTTTTAAAATAAAAACAATAGGAGGTGACACAACACACCTGACACTCAGGATCCCCGAACCGACAGTTGTACTCAAGCACTTTAAGCCCTTGCTTGGTCAACATCAGGCCTGCATACAGCACACCTGGTTAAATGAACAGGACATTAGCAATTTGTTAACTGGAATCACCTTTTTTTTTTTTAGAAGAAGAAACACCAAAGAATAAGAAAGTGGATAGAAAAGACCACTCACCCACAAAAGGAGTTCCCTCCTCTTTCATCCTGTCCACAGTCTTCTGCAGGACTATATCTTTGATCTGCTGCAGCAGCTCTTGGCTCACCTGCACAGGGTGGAGATGAAACAAAATTGAATGTAATCTTTTAGTGCCATCAAAAACACATATCCCCTCTCTATTATCAGTAAAATGTCACTTCAGTTCCTGAGGGGTGGGGCAATAGGCACCCATGCCACCGGTGTTTGGCCCGAGGTCACCGTCCTGCAGGCGCTTGTGATCCTGAGCTGGTGGCATCAGAGACACCGAGGAGCCGTCACTGAAACACAGACACTAAAAGAAGCAGGACTGGATTAGTGTCTGAAAATAAAGGCCGTATTCATGCACACTACTGAACTCTAATTTGAAACAGCTCCAATCCACTGTATTATTTATCTTCTTATAAAAAGTCATCATTCATATTTCTCTAACTTTAATGTGTACAGGAAGTGACCTGCTGTAGTGTGGATGTTGATTGCTTCATATAAAGACCAGAAACACAATCCTTAAACACCAATAACAGTTAAATCCAGCGGTTGATGCAGTTTTACTCACTGATACTTCCTCTCCCTCCAGGAGCTCCTCGACCACCACCGTGTCCCCAGCAGCTCCAAACGCTTTGTTCTGTGGGAATATCAACACAGTTATTCAAACAGCAGTAATATGTATAATAGAGTATAAATATTCAGTTGAATAAGTATGTTGTTTTCAGCTGCCATGATAACAACGTAGTTTAACACATCAGCTTCTTCGGCCATTTGATGACATAAATATTGATATTACGGGGTTTGACAGACACAAAACAAAATCCTATCATATTATTATCTTTAATGAGAAATTCCAAGCCTGCCTGAAGGCCATGTTTGACCTGAGGGCTGGACTTGCTGTCATCACTTCAGTATCAGTACCTTCATGATGTCCATCACAGCCTGACACGCCTCCTCCTGGTCTTTTGCCACAATCACCCCTTTTCCTGCTGCAAGACCACTGGCCTTCACTACTAGTGCAGGGAAATCAGCACTGAAAAGAAAATGTAAAAATCCATCTTTATTTGGGAATGAAAACTAACGCTCTATTGAATGTATAACTTTACACACTAAAGAAGAGGCAAAAGTGCTTCCTTCTGTATTGCTTGAAAAAATAAAAATCCAGTTTAAATTACTGACGTGCGGATATATTTGCAGGCTTCTTCGGGGTCAGTAAAGGAGCCATAACGAGCTGTTGGAATGCCATGACGTTCCATAAATGCCTTGGAGAAGCTCTTTGAGGCCTCCAGCTGTGCTGCTTTGCCAGAGGGGCCAAAACATGGCACTCCAGCTGCAGTCAAGTCATCAACAATACCTGAAAAGATGTTGGAGGTGAAAAGGAGAGCAAATGGGCCATAGGCTATGGCAACAACTGTTACTATAAATATGAATGCTATCCTACCAGCTGACAGCGGTACCTCAGGTCCCACCACAACCAGTCCAACATGGTGATCTTTACAGAACTGAGCCAAGATGGCATGGTTACTCACCGACACCTCTGTGTGGAGAAGATTTGAAACACTTTTTTTTCCTCTTGCTCACATCTTCTTAATAACAGTAAGTGTAAATTTGCATGTTCAATAACGGCTTATTATAAACCCTTTATGCATGGAAGTAGAGCCCAAAAGGAATGTTCAGTTGCTCGCTAACATGTAGGGATGAACCGAATGTTTGGTCACCGAAAATTTTCAAAAAAGAAAAAAAAAAAAGGTTTTATCACTGAAACAATGAGGCTGATGAGGATGTTGTAATGACACAGGAAAAAAAACATTCTTTGGAACATTAATATATGCCTTGATTTTGTGAGGTCAGAGCAATGGTGGTACTACGGTACTGGCAAAATCATTTCTTTCTGTGTTTAGGTTTCGGACAAAGATTTCAGTGCATCCTAAAAAACAGTGGTACATTTTTTTTAGCTCTAGATTAAACCAACTAAAGGTTAATACTAAAAGGTTATTTTATTACCTGAGTTGCAAATCTTCCCACAGTTCACTGTGCCTGCGTTACCAGGAGCCACCAGGACTTGTTGAATGTGTGGCGACTGGGCCAGCTTCCATGCCAGCGCATGCTCACGTCCACCACTACCAACCACTAGCACTCGCTCTGCCATGGCCCTTGAGCATACAGAACCGAAACAAAAGATTCCAGCATGAGATGTTAGAGCTAGAACTAGTCGTTCACGTCTCTGTGATTGTTCCACAAGATTGACTCTCCTTCTGCAGCTTCTTTTAAATGTCTGCAGCGCAACAATGTAATTGCACACAGAGTCTGACCTATAAGAGAAGGAGTTAGCTTAGCCATAAGGGAGCGGTGACCTTTTCTAAGAGCTGCAGTCTTATATCATCTTGTAATGCCACACTAACAAGAACTCAATCAACCGGAATAAAGAGACGTATCAATGACAAATGTGCCTGATTGTGCGACAAGGTCAATTTACAAAATCTGAATGGCATAAAGAAACATTGAGGGGTTGAAATTCTGGTTCAGTAATAATGCGTTTCTTGTTTCACTTGTTTTTGTTACATCACACCAGCCTATGAAAATAATAATTTATTTGCTAATTTAAACCAATGTACAAAACATTCCTCACACGTGTAACCAGGTTAATTAGTCTTAGTTAATCATCAACAGTGATTTAATAGGATTGGGTAAGAAACACACACAGTCTCTAATCTTATCCTAAAGATAGTGATTTTGTGTGGATTGTGTGAATTCAATCAGCAGACGATGCTGCTTCACATGACGCACAAACAACATCATTAATATCACTCCTATTGACTGCGCTGTGCTCAAGTGTTTACACAGCTGTACTGAGCTCAGAGAAGACTCAACTGATTGAATGAAAACAAATTAAACAACACAGTCAAAGTAAGTGCAGTAGTAGTTTCTGTGGTTGTACTACAAGCAGGGTCAGAGTGCAAATAATCCCAAACTCTCCTGAAATCTAACCTATGCCCTGAGCTCAGGGGGATTGGGAAACAGACAAACTGACAAGAGAACAGTACAAAAGGGCTAGTGTTTCACAATTAGGCAAATTAGGGTTTGATTTCCACCACTCTTCTCATGCAAGTCACATGTCTGACAGCCCATCAAGCAGGGTGCTACGTCTATTTTGCTCTACTTTAGTGCGTTTCCTTTTCATGTTAACGCACATTACTATACTGCACTGTAGTAAGACACAGGATAAGTTACTCGTTAAATAAAAATAACTGTATTACTTTGTGTCAAATACACGTTTAACTAACCGTGTGCACCACGGGGCCGTCACTACTGCACAATTATTACAACACGGTGCATTATTGTCTAATGCAGTTCCATAAACCAAACGTACATGTGACTTATTCTGATTAATGTCAAGCATCTGCGATGTTAATTAATTTGTAACTGGGAAAGCAGCATTAGCACGTGAAGCTGTGGAACAGACGAACACAGGCTTGCTAACACTCACCTCTCTGCGTGTGTGGAGTCTGGAAATATTCGGAGTTTGGTTGAAGGAAGAAGACACAAGTGTCCGCCCAGCTCTGCTCTGCTCTGCTCTTCGAGTCGTGTCGTCCCTGCTCAGTGCTGCTCTTCTTGGATGCTATAACACACAAACCACGTGGACTCACTTTATCAGTGATGCACAACGTTAAGTCAAACATCAACTCTTGCCACACGCACACACACGCTTACAATTAACAAAGCTACGTCATCAGCTGTAACACCAACCCCCTGTTACGGCGTGGAAACTTCATTCGTTTTCCAACTTTGTTTGCTGCCAAAGTTTTTCACCAAAAGATTTCGCCAACTTCCTTGGTGTAAAACGGCCGAGTGCATTGTGGGAGTCGTAGTTACTTGGCAATATCGGCTTCGTTTTTGCATACAAAACTACAAAAACTTATTAGGAAATTTAGTCCGCTAACGACAGAATGTCAACAACAGGGTAGAAATGGTTCGCTCAAGCGAAGAGCAAAAATACACATGTGAGAAGACGTTAATCAAAATGTAAACCAAGTTTTAAAGAAGCGAGATGACAACACAAGTGAAGTTCTTTCTTATGGTAAAAATTCACAATCATGTTTTCCCTTAATGGACTTTAGGTTGACCCAAAAAATAAAAATGGCCACCAAAACTCCCTGTTGTTGTTGGAAAATAACAACAATAATGATAATTGCTATTATGTTTGGTTGCTGCAATACAGCTTGTTGGATGGTTTGGCCGACAAAATTACCTTTAAATGGTTGCTTTTTAAAAGTGAAATCCCCCTGGTATGCCAGGAATGGCAGCACCCTACCAGACCTTTTTTTAAAATAGATCTTAATATTAGTACTAGTCTACAGCAAAAAGTATGCTACTGTTTTTATAATGTCCGCAAAAAAAGTTAACTTTTTTTACAGTGTAGAAATATTTGCATAAAGAACCTTCTGGTGACTTTTATGCTCTATTAAATTCCTATGACCCAGATAAAAGATATCTTACTTGCTAAATTTTGCTTCAATAGAAAATTCCATCTGAAGAATGGAAGCTGAATAATGAATTTAAAGGTAGAAATTGGGGATGGAATTTTGAATGTGGTCTGTTCATTCACTTCAAAATGGATGTCAGGTACAAATGAATGTTGTAGCAGGCTAGATTAAGTGGACTTAGACGGACATGTTGGTGAAGACAAGAAGACACGGAAGAACGGACATACTGTATAACATAGGAGAACATAAGAATTTAAAGGGAAGACACACACACAGGTGGATTATGTCATGTACAGAAAGTGTCATCTGAAGAGGTAGGAGACTGTGAAGTGGTGCCAGGAGACAGAGTAGCTGAGCAACATATGATGGTTGTTCGTAAGGTAAAGGTAGAAACAAGGAAAAGAAAGCGGGCAAAGGCAGAGGTGAGAATTAGATAGTGGAAAGAGAGCAGTAGCCAAAGAAAATGTAAGATGAGTTATATGAAGGGTTGGACAGTAAGGAAGGACAGAAGAAACAATACAAAGTAAAGCAGGGTAAAAAAATCAGCAGCATTTAGGCAACGGTGGGTAGAAAATCTAAACTCAGTGTTGCCGTCTGCCTTGGCTGAGAGAGAAAGAGAAACATTTGGGAGACACCAGAGGGGGGAGAAGAGAGGGGAGAAAGGGAGACTCAAGAGAGAGAGTATGTAGAGTAACAAACAGTACAGGTGGACAGGAGGTTGGCCTTAATTGTCCTTATGCAGGTTTCAACACAACAATCAACCTTCTGGGAGTTTCCAGGACATTTACATTTGCTGTGCTTCTGCAACAAGCTGCTTCCATCTGCAGTTTCCTCCTCTCCAAAGCCCTGTGGACGTACCAGAGCATGACTTGAGCAGCTTCTTCTGCCTCGTCTACTTTAAATTATCAGCTACATAGACCAGCTCCTCGGTCTGTTGGAGTGCCTGCCCTCAAAATTAATGGGTATTTCAATGTGAAAAATTTAAAAATGAACTTATCAAAAGAATTGTAACAGTTTAAAATGACTTTGGAATGTAATATTTAAAAACATATTTTCAAATCAGGTTCACATAATCACTCAGTCAAATATTACTGAACTACACAATCAAATGACCACAAATATTACTGTAGTTTGATGAATGATGGAATATTCAAGTGACCTACAGATGCTGCATTAATATTATGATTTGTCAACAAAGGTTTGGTAAATACTGAGGAGTGGACAGTCGTACTATATTTAATCTGACTGACGGTAATACATCGGTTTTTCTGCTTTTCTCGCATCTAGATAACATACAATATAATCACAACACATTTGCAGCATTAGTGAGTGAATTTCTTCAGTTCTGCCAGTAGATGGCAATGTAGATACATCGGAAAAACTAACAGCAGGTAAGCTGTTTTTGGTCAGTCGGAGTACCAGCTTCAATGCTGCTAAAAGCAGGATTTCACGTGTACGTTTGTTTATTTATTTATTTATTTATATTACATCACGTTAATTACGTGAGATTGATAATTAGGTGATTTTACACACTTTCTTTTCGTAGTGCTAGTAGCATAAAAATTAAACATTAAAAGTAAACAACTTTGATTTCTCTGTTACGATCGAAATAAAGTTGGTTTAAATTGCTTTGCTTGTGGTTTAAATTGCTTTACTTTGTACTCAGTTGTTCTCAAAAGATCAAATTGATTAACCCTTTTTTCAGTAGACGAAAAACTTCTTAAGTGTAATAACTACAGGCTGCATCGCTGTATTTGTCCCCATGGTAACATTATTTGTTATATTGTTCAATAATAGACTTTAATTCTAGCTGGCACTTAATTCACATTATTTCACTGCAGATGTTTCACAGTCGACAGTGTTTGAAGGCACCGTGAGCAAATTCTTATTCAAAGTGACTGCGCTCTGTGGGCTCTGTGGCCTGGTACCACATGTTGACTCACTGGGGGAGCAGGGATGTGTCACAGTAACCTGCACAAAGCAATCAAGGGTGAGTCTCTCATGTAAAGGATTATGGAGACACGGAAAGTGTCTCTCAAAGGACGTCTTTGCCACAACATCACCACTTGTATATGTAGACACTACAAAGAAACTGGGTCATTAGATTGGTGTTATAAAACCACAAGTTAAGGCTAAGCACTTTGCTCCAGTATGAATCCGTTGAACTAGCGAGCTGCATGATGTATAACTATAACTTAACTCACAATCTTAATTAGCTTTATATTACAGTCATTCTGTTACTTGTACTTGTTTATAATTGTTCTCTGAAAAAAAAGTCAGAACATTTTTTTCAAAGAACAATTATAAATACTGTACATACCTACAAGGGATTTGTAGAAGACTGAATACTCCTCAGAATTTTGCAGCACTCTCATATTTAGCAAGTGATGCAGCATACCAGGTAGTCATGAAGGTGGTGAGGGTAGACCTACTGTAGAACCAGCAGTGTACAAGTTGAATGTTCTAGAACAGTGGTTCTCAAACTTTTCATACCACCTGAGAAAACACTGATCTCTCTGAGTACCACCATGATGACCAACATTAGAATACAGCAGCAGAGGCCTTCACTGTTAGCTTCAACCACAGGAGAGAGGTTTAGAAATGTTTAAATGTTGTATTAATTGTGTATGGTATGTTTCAGATTTATTCAATTGAAAATGTAAATGGGAAAATGTGAGGAAATATGAGGAAATTTAACCAAAAAACTTTGACAGCCAAGTCACAAGTTGGAGTACACAGTCATATATTTATATCAACATTTGTCCCTGTTTTCAGACATGCTGCTTCATTAACTGCATCAGCTATGGTTAAATCACTTGTTTCTTAGTGTTGACTGTTTTTACAATTGTGACAAGTGAGTATCATTTTACTTATTTACTGTATGGATCTTCCACTCCCTGAAACTGGTTGGTTCCTGTGCCACAATATCTACAGAATACATAATTTACACATGTCTACAGCGGTGATGACAAGATTCTCCAGTTCTCAGTTCAAGGTTAGTGTCAGGAAGGGCACTTTGTGTGAAAACGTCAAATCACTACATGGACTATATTGCTGTGGTAGCCCTTGACAAAGAGACGAGCTTGTACATGCCTCGCTCCCACGTCATATTACAGAAATCTATTTAAACATTACCTTCGTGGCCTTCCTTCACGACACATCAGCTCTGCAGGGATCTGTCAACAGGATTACCCAGAAAGCCTATTCATAATAAATAGCAGCGGTGCTTTAAAAAACTCAAGACAGCAAATTAGCATGGAAATGAAGCAGCAGGTTTGTCAGCAAGAAGTCCTGGGTCACAGAGACAAATGTTAAATACTGCCAGAAGGACTTCGCTGCACACTCAGCTGTCCCCTCCACTGCCTGCTACGCCTACACAGCTAATGTCAACAATGAAACATCCTGGCGTATTTCCAAGGGAAGAAACTTTGACTTTATATGAAATCTATCTATTCCTGGCAGAATTCACCCAAACCCACCTTGTTTAAAATGATACATGCACAGTGCTTTTCTTAATATAGCGTCAAATATAAGGTTCCACACAAAGCCACGAGGGCGATGATGTTGGCATTTTTGCATTATTAATCTCCACAGGCTATAAACATGTCCTTAAAAGCAAGGGTTCTTAACCTTTTGACCTTTTTTTCGTAGACCTACACACATCAAGCCCCCAAACAGGCTGAAAATCCCTGGCACATATCAAGCTGTGGGGCAATATTTATACTTCTACTTGTAATAAAAAATAATAATAATAATAATATATATAAATGTAAATAAAAGGTAAAAGATACACTAAAATAAAGATAAGAGATATTATTCAAATATTGAAAACATATTTTACAATGAAAATATAATGGCAACAAAGTGCAAATGAAACTGTAGCATTATTAGTTTCTTCAGTTGATAACCTATGCCATGATCGATGCAGCCCTTGGAGTCCACAGGTGCAAAACTTGAAGTTTTTGTGGCCCTGTGTCAGGCAGTAGATCACACTTTAGATTGTCATAAAGTTTTTTTGTTTTTTTTTTGAGTTCCACTGTTTTCTTATGCCATATAGAAACTTTCAGAATACGCATGCAGGTTATCTGTGTGGTCTTTTTTGTTATTAACCTCAGTATTCCTCCGTCCCGTCTAATTAAGTTTCACTATTAATGGATGCCAATCAACAAATGTCAAATTTGTTAAATTAGTTGGTCTAACCCACAAGATACACAATTATATTCTCATGATATCGCTGTAACAAATGTCATTTATTTGACCTGTATTGTGCTGATGGTATATACCTGTGCTAGTGTCAGTCGCAAAACATTAGGACAGAACTTCGTACTCTCCACCACTGGCTCTAATTACTTTGACATCATCCAAATCATCTGACACTGCTAACATCCACTGAGTTCCAACACATGTTAAATGTTGTGTTTTATGACCCTGTTTTTGATCCTTGTAAGCTGAGATTCTTTTGATAGCTCAGCCCAATACCTCTCAACCTTACTTGTACTAAGCCTGCTTTTGTAAATGTATTTTCGACCTTTTATCTGATTCTGGCTGTGTTTTATTGAATCTATGAGCATTCCTTATCTAATGCCAACCACCAAAAGGATGAGATTAAAGCAAAAGTTCAGAGGAAAATGTATTTACTTCTTACATTTATTTAGCTTCTGGGAGTAGAGTTTTTTAATGTGGACCTAGTTGTTAATAAAGCACAACCCTTGGAATAATTGCTAAGCAGCAGGTTTAATGTTAAATGGTTGAAAAATGTAGACGGAAAAAAACAATCCATTTTACTTTACTAGGAACAACAGATTTTTTCTGAATTTACTTTTCAGTGTAAATTGTCTGTGGCAGTTCCAAAGGATAATCAAGTTGTTTTATTATAGACTTAAACACAAAATATTATTTGGCCATCGCTGCAGAAATTCAAATTTCTATCCTAACAGTTTTAAAATTAACAGTCAGCCATCTTTTATTTAAAAGTAGTTTCAACCATTAGCGGGCAAAAGTGAAGCATTGATCAAAATGTTCCCTATTTTAAAGGAATCACTGTATGAATTGAAATGTAAAAGGATGAAAATTATTTTCCAAAAATAACATGATGTTTTCAAATGTTTGATTCTGCTGAGATGTGGAGAGTCCACATGGAGGTCAGGTGACACATGAACTCTTCTACATTTCTTCATTCTAATCCATTTTCTTCTTGATGGGATCAAATTCCACAACCGTGACATGATGTTTTATTGGAGAGGAAGGAAACTAGAAAGTTTCTCACAGTTACTTCACTCCTGTCTGTTCTATAATTCAGCAGCCATTTGTCAGGTTTTCCAATTCTGGGACACCTTCACCGTGTCAGTGTGAAATAGTTGCAGAGGTTCCACAAATAACACGTAGCACGTTAACAAATATAGCCGAGAAAAATTCAATTTGTTAACTCAGAGCCCTTCTTAGGGTTTTCACACAGCCGTCATATGTGGAAATGTCAGTTGTGAGTGAAAGGTGGTTTTTAGTGTGAGGCACCTGTATCAGCAGCCTAGCATTAGTCTTGGCTACCTGCTGTGTTAGCCGTCACTGCCTCTGAGTGTCTTCACAACAGCGTGTCTTTTCTCGGCTTCATTTCTTCAGGTCTCTGCTACTCAGTTTGCAGTTTAGCTATCAATCATGGGCATTTATCAGCTCACAACACCCTTTCACTGCACAGGAAAAAATGGTGAAAGTTCAGAAATGTGTAAAGGTTGGTGGCAGTAAATGCATCTCTCCTGGCTGTGGTTAATGATAGGGCTGGCAAAATCATAGAGCGCCACTCAGGCTGTCAGTCTCCAAAAAGCTTTTTTAAATGTCATTCCATTTGTTATCATTTTATTTTATTTCAATTTATTATGAATTTTGAACAGTTCACAAACATTCTGCCCATTATTACTGTTGTAGTCAAAAGTTATAGAATATGCTTTCTCCAAATCTACAGACACAGTTTAACTTCCTCTGACCTTCTGACCTTTTCTACCAGCACTCTTAGAACAAAAATAGCCTCAGTTGTACTGAAAACCCCACCCAAGTGCTGCTCACTGATCTTGTCTCAGCTTTGCCTCTAAAACCGACTCCCATACATTCATTGAATACCTAATCGTCTTTATGCCTCTGTAGTTAAACAAAGACACTATTTGAAGTAAATAAAAATAGATTTCAGGGAAATTGAGTTCAACAGAGTTCTGCATTAGACAATATACCAATAAGAATAAGGATAAAAATAAAGATAAATAAATAGTTACCACAGACCTGTCGTCCTCATCTTGATTTACTGTCAATGATGCTAATGTTCTACGCACAACAGGCAACATGACTTTCAATTATCACTAAACGATTTATTGTACTTTACACTAAACTTTACAAAAATGTTCTACTGTTGAAAAAATGTTGCTCACATATCTGAGTCCGTGAATCGTTTTTTTTTTTTTTAAACATGAAGTGCTACAAATGGTCAAAATGGCTGATGTAAAAAAAGGTTACATGGTGGCTCATTTTAATAATTAGACTTCTGACATTTATTTAGTGGAGCTATTGTACTGTATGATATTTGGTGAACGCAAACCTCTCTGACAATGCAGAAAAATCCACTATTTTTAGTTAAAATTGTCAATTTTGTGTTGCTGTTCTTAGGGTAAAGGGCAGGAGGGAGAAATGCAGACTTATACTTGTTATGATATTTCATGATATTTCCTTTCTCCAAAAATCTCAAGTTTGATGACGACTGTGACTATTCAAAATGGGAAATGCCACAACATACACAGTATTGGTATAGACACCGTACTAGAAATACTCACTATGACTATAAGTATGACAACAATACTACAGACATGTAATGTTTAAGGAATAGAAGACTGATGACTCTGCTGTCTCCCAGAGAAGGGAGGCGTAAAGAAAAGATAGGGGAGCAGATGAGAGGTAATGCAGACAGAGAGGAGAGACCAGGAGCTGATATGAAATGAACTAAGTACCGTCAGATGAATAGTTAAAGCAGCTTTTAGTGTAAAAAAAATGAGGTCAGTGAATCAGGTCCTGTAGTTTTGAAGTTACAGGAGGGAGGGAGTAAAAGACTCCCGACCTAGGGGAAGGAGACAGGGCAAGAGACTTACTATGACATCATCAATGCTCATGATGTGCATACAGAGTGAGAGGTAGAGACAGGGCTCAGCACACCAACGCAGTTTAGGCTGAAGCAGCAGAAGTCTAAGCCCTCGTGCTGCAGCATTCTATTAGTTTATATACATATTTGAACACTCTGATCATAAAGACTGACTGAAGTTCTACAGGATTCTTCCTTGTTGTGTAGTTTTTCATACTGCATGGGGTTGAAAAGGCTGATCTATAGTAAAAACTTGATACTTGTGTCAGAGAAAGCCTCCTTCAGATGTTTGTGGACAAGTATGACTAATCCAGATACATCCGAATTTGGACGTAAACAAAATGTAGGTCCTCAAAGTCTTTAGGTCCTTGAATCATTCCTACTGTAGCTGAACTGTTTAGTTCAAAGGTGCAGCATACTGTCTACAAAACAATGGAGGATCATGGGATTGCCTTGGAAACCTCAGGACATATCAACGACTATGGACCACCCATTTCCACTGCCAACACACCAAGCTGTGATATCATTGTCTTCACACCAACAGATTTTCTGATGACCACACAATGAACACTTTCCACGATCAACACATCTGATCATCCAGACTTTACATTTCATGATCAAAAAGACTCTCAAGTTCAAAAGACAAAATTGTCAGCTCTGGAGCGCTACAAATAACAGAAGGTGTAAAAGAAGTGTAAAATAGTGAGAGCGCTTTGTCAAAATCACACTGCTGAAATCCATGAGTCCTTCGCACTCTTGTCTGGTAGCACAGCCCTGCATGTGCTAGTACTGTCATGTCAAAGCACTCTCAGTGTGACACGCCACACAGACAGTCCATACTGTTATCCTGCCAGTTGGAAAGTCCCACAGAGGCCCCGCATCTGGGATTGATACACTTGCCAATACTGGGCATCCCCGACAACTGACCGACCAATCAGAGGAGACTGGTGAGTCTGACCAAGAGGCCAAGCAATAGATCTAATAATGATGATGCAATAGTTTGATTCATTACTGTCTTCTTCTTTGTGGGAATTTGAGGTGTTTTAGAATAATTAACCACTTTGATAGTGGGGGCAAAAATGTTGTTTAAAATCCTAGTTCAACCCTGAGTTTGTACCCTCTCTACTTGTTCTCCCTCACAATAATTTGCGGCTTCACTTTTGACATCCTAACCTTGAATAAAATAAATGCC